TCCGATTAACACTTGTTCTCGTTAATGGCGAGGAAATGTGTCGCTTTATATGTATATGATATGTTGTCTTATTTTATAAACTCCCCTTTTTTAATTCGGCATTAGCTAAATTAACAAATAAAGGCCTATAGGTGAATAAAAGTACGACTTTTAGTTGGTGAAAGTTTCCCTCAATGTTTTCAAGGAAAACACAAAATGGAAAGAAGTAACTCAGTTTACTAATTACACATTTTTAGACATTACAGGATATTTAAGGTTAAAGAAACTACAATAACTGTTGTTAGTTAAATGACAGTTGACAGCATGCTGTTACCTAATGTAGATTATATTGTGTCAGAGACTGCGCAGCTAAACAAGACTTATTATTCCTATTTATTCATATATTCATCATTAGATAGACAGATATACTTTATTATTATATTATNNTAATAAATATATACAGAATACACAATATGTAGAATGACCTAAAATACAATATAAGATATAATAAATATAAATATAGGATCAAATACTGTATAGATGTTTTGCACAGTTGTTGTATTGTTTAAAAAAAATGTTTTAATATTTATTAGTTTGCTTTATTCTCATTGTAACATCATTATAGTATTAAAACTAAATAAAGTTGTTATTTTTATAGATTATTATTAAAGATCCAGACCACGAAAGTATTAAACTAAAGCAGCGATGGCGAATAAAGTCTATAAATAATCGTTAAATACATAATACAGATGAAGAATTGCTTAAAAAAGTTCCTAAAAACATCAGAAAAATCTGCGAGAACTTCCTCCGAATCGCTCGTTTTACACAAACTTCCCGCGGATATCGCAGCCGCCGTTTAGGTACAGTTAATAGAATCAGTTTACTCCGTGATAGATGAATAAAACGGACTGAAACAAGGAAATAATTGTGAAGGAAAAACACGACGAGTGAAAGGAGATCTCTTTTCATTTCAAGTGGAACCGGTTCGATCGCGTAAAGGTTTCCCTCTCTTTGGGGACCTTTGAACTCCCCTCTGTCTGTCTGTGTGTAGTTTGGGGATCGCTGACGCTGTATTGGAGGTTTTTCTCTGACTGTGTGTTTCTGTTTTTGTTTTGTCTCCTCGCAGCGGAGCCACCATCTTCCCTGCAAACTGCACGGAGCTTCAGTTCTCTCCGTCCGAACCTACGCTGACAAAGCAGCCAGTAAGATAACCGTCGCTCTTTATCTTCATTCGTGGTCTCTTATGAACTTTAGCCAGGTGTTTGCAGACATCGGCACCTCTTGCATAAAGCTCATAAAACCTCATATAACCTATTAATGCTGTAATCTATTGATGTTTTCCCTTTGTAACATTAATCACCTGAAAATAAGCTTTCGTTACCTTAATATGAGACGTTTTAGTTTCAACTTTTGCTCTTGAAACTGGAGCGAGATACGAGTCGGGTTGGGTTATTTTAGTTTTTTAACTCAGTGCTAAAATTATCTTTTTAAATCCCAACCGCTGCCTGGACTCATAGTTTGTAAAGAAAAGAAGCACAACAGCTTACAAAGCTTAAAGTACACTTAAATATATTCATATAAATAAATAAATACAGCTCCTGAACCCGAAACAAAGCGCTGACACCTGCGTTGTGATTGGGTCCGGTAGATGACGGTCGTATCGGAACCGGTTCCCTCTTGGCGCCGTGTTGCAATCAGCAACTACACCGTTGTTTTACGTCTGCTGATTTCTGACAGCAAACATACAAAGAGTCTTATTATAGATATTTGGAGGCGTCAATAACATTGAAGGGAAATAGATGGGGAAAAGATTTAGAGGATTTGAGTATGAAGACACTTTCTGCCTAATAAAACACCACAATTTAAATTTTTATATAGTTTTTTAACCCTGTTTTACATTATCAATGACTTGTGCTGCTTCATCTAAAAAATGTTATAATAAATCCCAACATGGTGTTTAAATAGTAAATACTGTCTGACCAGCATCTCAGACCTTTAAATATTTATAATGACGTCAAACAGTCGATGAAGGATCTGAACCATCACCTATTTCCTGTGGTAACTTCACAATAAAAGCCTCGTTGAATCAGCAGACTTTCACGCCGTCGCTCTACAGTCTTTATGTAACTGAGGGCTGAACTCTCGATGCTCTGAGCTGCTGTTAGAAACCTGCGATTAAAAGGTTTCTGTGTTTGCCTCCCTGTAGTCGATGCAGACGTCACAGTGGTGGGCTCCGGTCCGGGCGGATACGTCGCCGCCATCAAAGCCGCGCAGCTCGGCTTCAAGGTAAGCTGCCTGTTTGTGAATGTAACTTTACTTCATAACGTCCTGCGAGACCTGGAAGTAAAAAAAACATCAATGTAGAAATCTTTAATGTATGTTTTTCTTCCTCCTTCGACAGACAGTGTGTGTTGAGAAGAATGCGACGCTGGGCGGGACCTGTCTGAACGTCGGCTGCATCCCCTCAAAGGTAAAAGATCTGTAGAGATGAGCATGAAAACATCCACACTGTGATCATCATTAACTCCAGTTCGAAAAAGTGAAGAACTGGTTCGACGTCAGCCTTGGTGGAGCCATGAAACAAAAAAACACACACTTCAACTTAAAGGGGAACTTGGCAA